TAGAAATGGTAGTTTTTTATTTCAGAGTATACAAAATGGTAAAATATATTCACAAATTAAAAATAAATCAACTGTAAACCTAACATAACCTACTCTTTTCAGTTATCAAATATTATTTGCAGCAAAGTAACATTTTTTACATTCTGACAACTGATCCTTAAATACATGTCACTTGTTAACAATTAGACAAATGTCAGCTTGGTACGGGCTTGGTTAACTTGCCAGACATTCAGCTCTTCATACTCTTCAATGCACTCATTAACCTGAAAAAAAGCACAATACAATCATTACAATTATCTTGTATACTTTGCTCCACCTTAAGATCAATCTCATTATAAAATCACTGATTAGTGTGCACACCTTATATCTTTTAACATTTAACTTATCATATCATTATTGTCTATAGTGAAGATGAAGAGAATAGTTTGTAAATGAAGACCAATATCTCACCTGATCAGGCTTGTATCCCTTGCTAGTGCAACGCTCAATGATTTCACCTAATTTTACCACACGATTTTCACCAGCAACCTCACGAATCAGTGTGAAGATCTTATCAGTCACAGTCTGGGCTCTGTAAAGTAATGTTAATGTTTATCAGAAGATGAATAAAAAAATAAGCTGACATACTGTCATTTTCATATAATCAGTCATAATTATATAATGAAAAAGAAAAGGTAAATACTGTACACAAACCTTCCTGTTCTCTCTTCAGTATGGTTCAGTGAATCCTTGCTCATTTCAATCAGGCGCATAGCTTCATTCACATCCTCTTTTTCCACCTAATGGACATGAAATAAAAAAATGGAGAGGATTACTTCAGGAGAAAAGATAAAATTCTGAATCAAATAATATACACAAAGCAAACAAATATCTGAATCACAACGCTGAGTAAAGAAATACACTTACAGCATCAACAAGTCGGAGGCGTGCAAGAGCAGTGGACAGACGCAGAACAGCAAGAAGGGTTCGAGCAGAGGTGAAGGTCATGTCTTTGTTGTTACGAGCTTCCTTCCTCATCTCTACATAAGCTGACACCAGGTAGTCGGTCAGGTTTTCAGGGATGGTGGGTTGCTGTAATAAAATTTACTATTGATTCATCCTAATCATGAAAGTCAGATACTATAACTTTATTCTAAACCACAGTCAAAACAATCAAAAGCTTTTAAGGTGTACCTTCTTTTTGCAAAGAGCAATGTAACGTCTCATTAGCTTCATGTCAAGTGGCTTGAACTGGGTGGGTGGTTGGGCACAGTGCTGATGAACATAGGTGATATGCTGAGCCAGTCTGCAAAGAATTTTTAAAAATCAATCATAAATAAGACAATCAACTGTAAGGTTTTCCATATGGCAAAGCAATTATATATATATTTATATATATATATATATATATATATATATATATATATATATATATATATATATATATATATAATATACTTTTGTTCTTACAGCAGGGATAAATAAATTCCACAACTCATACCTCAGATCATTTTCACGATCTGGCCTATCTTGAATGAGCCACAGAAGATCAAAACGAGACAACAGTGCTGCTGGAAGCTGGATGTTCTGTTCCACAGATTTCTTGGGATTGTAGCGTCCATAAGCAGGGTTAGCAGCAGCAAGAATACTCACACGAGCATTTAGACTTGTCATGATACCAGCCTGAAAAAAACATTTGATAGTCATATTTTCATAAGTAGTCTGTATTTCTTGTGCATGTTTTTAAGATGAACACATGTGTTCATTCTAAACATTCATTTTCTCTGCACAACCATAGTGAAGAACCTTATAATAAGATTTTCTAACAGGTTTACAATATGCTCAAAAGATGATAATGTTAATAAGTTACACTTCAGAGTACATGAGCAATTACCTTTGCAATGGAGATGGTCTGCTGTTCCATAACCTCGTGAATGGCAGTCCTATCAGAATCAGCCATCTTGTCAAACTCGTCAATGCAGCAAATACCCTGATCAGCCAGCACTAGAGCTCCTCCCTCCAAGGTCATTTCACCTGTTAGGGGATCCTTCATCACAGCAGCAGTTAGACCAACACCACTGGAACCTCGGCCGGTCGTGTACTGGCTCCTGGGAGCCAGCCGGTCAATGTAAGAAAGTAACTGAGACTTAGCCACACCAGGGTCACCCATAAGGCAGATGTTGATGCTACCACGAATCTTCATGCCATTGGGATTACAGTCAACACCACCTACGAGGAGGAGGAGGAGAGCTTTTTTGACATCTTCATGACCATAGATCTCAGGGGCAATAGAGATTGCAAGCTTGTCATAGAAATTCTCCTCTGCAATTTGCTTGATCTCTGACTCAGTCAGTTCCTCAGCTCCCAATTCATCATCCTCTGTCTTGTTCATCTGGACTATCCTCTGTGAAATAAAACATAAAAATTTGAAAATCAAACAATCTTAACATTTTTCTCACTTATTTCTCTTTTAGAACACCTGTGTGTATAATGGTTTCAGTTAAATCAATGAAATTTGATACTTTGCTGTACTTACATGAGCCTCCAGGAAGGTGTCTGAAAGGAGACCCTGCATCATCGCCCTAAAACCATGACGCAAGAGGGGCATGAACACGCCAGTGATAGCAACATGGTCACCTGGCTGACAAAGTCTGGTCTGTTCGCCTCTGCACATCACAGTCAAGGATCGGGGGATGTTGCCCACTGGAACCTATGCAACAATTCTAATTAGTAGTGATCATATCAGATAATCTTAACGTTGCAAAGCTGCTCTATCATAACTAAATAATTCAAAATGATTCTGGAACAAAGACAAGTCATAATTTACCTGATCAGAGTGCTCTTGAACCTTGATTTCCTGGAATTTGATAAACTTTGAACCACGAGTCTGCAGGTACAGGCGTCCACCAGATTTGTTTACCCTACAGTCTTCACTAGGGCAGAGCAACTGTGGCATAAAACTTGAGGACTGAATCTGTAACCAAACACATCCATATTAGCAACATTCAGTGGCATCTCAGGGACTTATTTTACAATATGGAAATACTCTAAATGGTTACATATTAAAAAATAACAACAACAACAAGACTTACAGGTTGGTAAGTCTCAGCACCACACTGGTCGCAAGTGTATGTGGCTACTTGCATCATAGGCTTCACTTCCGTACACCTTGTGACAATACCTCGCACCAGCACTAGTTTTCCAATGTGGGATGCTTTTACGTTACGAATGGCCACAGGTTTTTGGGCTGATGGAGCCTTGAAGTAGACTTCACTGGAGGAGAAAAATATAATTTGTAACATCTGATGATTGTAATCCTGTAATAAGTATCCTCTGTTGTAAAACATTACAACTGGTAATCTGAATCTACAACTCACTATCTCCTGATCAACTCTGGTGGGTATCTGTTGCGAACGTCACGGACATCACCAGGCTGTCGTGTGCGCTGCTCCATCATTAGGCGATGTTCAATGTAAACATCCAGGGCATCCCTAGCTACTGTCTGAAATTAAAATACACAATTTTCGCAATTTTACACTAACTTAAAAGTAAAACATGCTTGAACATCACTGTCAGCTCCAATAGGCATAAAAAATTCAGTATACCCTATACATCACAATATACATTTTGCAAACCAAATTAGCAAATCCTGAATAGATATACATAATCACACCATAGTAACAAAGTCTAAGCCAATAGTTACAAGTACCTCTCTTTGTTTATAATCGGGCAACATTTCGTAAACAGCCTCCGAGAACAAATTCAAATAACGTCTGCTGTTCTGCACTATTGCCTCTGCCATATCAGGGTCAAATTCGGCTGGAATCAAAACAATACAAATCAAAATGCATATCAATTTTTCTAACATTATACTAAGACTAAGACATCAATACCACCAAGCAGTACCTCCTAAAACTATCAATTTACATAAAAAACAAAATGGCCTTACCAACGTCCTCAATATCGACTGTGAGGCTGACTTGCTCTCGGTGCGCCAGCTCCACCAGCTGCGTGGCATATTTGAAGCTCTTGCGGCCATCGTCTCCAACATTGTGGAACTCGGCCAAGAAACGCTTGATGGCCTCTGTCGGGAAAAGAAAACGTTTACAGTGTGGTTTTAGGTAAGGAAGATGAAACTTTTACAGGAATTTGTGGAACAGATAAGACAAACATTACACTATGCGAGTCCACGACATTTCCATCGCAGACTGTAAAAAAAGGAAAGAACGTTTAACGTGAAAGAGGAAATCTTAGTGACAGCAGATTTATACCCAATCTTTCCCAGTTAAGCACAAGCTCTTATCCTCCCAAGCCACACTAATTGCTGCTAACTGCTTTGGCTTAGCTCCGAATGCCCTCCACGAAAAGCACTGCTATTCCAGCACCAGAGAACTCCTTCCCCCCCCACCTTAGTCCCGGAACCGCCCGAGAGGACAAGCATCCCGCCCCTCGCCGTCCCCTCTCCCCTTGGGCCACAGGGCAGCGCGGACCTAAGGCCACCTCCCTTGTCCCTCAGAGCAGACGAGGCCGAGACGCCACCTCGGAGACCTTCCCTTTGCGTCTGTCACTCGGCCGAAGGGGTCGGATTGCCTTCGCGTTGAGTGCGAGGGCATAACGCGGGCTCGTACGGCAGGATTCCGGGCCTTTCCCCTTGAATCACACTTTGGTTGTCATTTGTGACGGGATTTTACTGATGGCAAACTTTGAAGAATGTTTAAGATCGAGGAAATGTTTGTTTACGTGCTTTACGAGCATAATTCGGCCCAAAGTTTGTGAAAGAGAGGTATTCTGACCAAGGAGATCAGTAAATCCTGGCCATTTAGCCTTAAGAAAAGAGAAAAATCCAACAAAACACAAATTCGCAAAACTACATTCTTCGGCCTCCCAAAGCCCGCCAAAACCGCCGCTCCGACTTCCCACTTGTCACAAATTTACACTCTCTTTCTACAAACACACTAAAAATATCTCTATTACAGTGTCTTACCCTTCTCTTGGTCGTAATCGCGCTGCTTGCTGGCCATGACGGCGGTTAGCGAGGGAAATTCACGGATGAGCAAGAGGAGCGCGAGATGCCAGCCGCACTTTGGCGCCGAATCTTGGGGGAAGAAGGGCTGCGCTCGAGACTGCGATAATTTTTCCTCTCTCCTCTGTTTTCCGGAGATTCGAGATTCTGTTGCATAAATTTATGATTATAAAGACATTTAAATTTTTTGTGCTTTATTATTTATCATTGGAGGGGATTATAGTTTTTTCAAGGACACTTGGCAATGAATTGCAGTTTTTTATCCTTTTGTGAATTTGTTTTTGGGAGAATCTTTCAAGGTGAAATTTAAATTCTTATTTTCACGCCATGGAAGAGCTATATTTCACCAATAGATGTGCCTTTATTACATACTTATATTTCTAAAAAGGTGAAAATCAGGGGAAAAAGGTCATAGCGCCCTCAGAGACGGGAAAATAATCGTGTTTTTATGAAGCGGTCTGGCACCCGCCCCGCACATGCGCACTGCCTTTGTTTAGTTTCCAGTCTGATCAGCTGTAGCAATGGTGAGTCGATGAATATTGTCCAATGTCTCACCTTTATTCTTTCCCAGATGACATTCTAGCCATCCTTACGGGAAAATAGCACACCAGGTTAATGTTTCGAATCTCTGTCTCTTTTTCCAGCACAAGCTCAAATCCTCCCAGAAAGAAAAGGTCAAGCAGTTTATTTCCTTCACCCAAACGGGCGAGAAAACCGCAATATACTGTCTTGCTCAAAATGACTGGAAACTCGAACTCGCCTCAGACAACTTCTTCCAAAATCCCGATTTATACTACAGAGAACAGAGGCCGTCAGTCGACAAGAAAAAGCTAGAACACCTCTATAACAGATATAAAGGTAGATCCCCATACCTATGGCTTGGGGAAAATTATTACACCATGGTTATGTTTTGCACTTTTTGTGTCATTGAAGGGATGGTATTACTTACTTACTACTTGAATAAGTTTCTGATTATTATGAGACTTAAGGTAAACCCTTGAATCATTTTCTACAACAATGGATTTTTTTTTTTTTATAATTACCATTAATATGTTAGCCTGGTCATTCAGGCATTGAGGAATGTCATGAATGGTTGGTTATGGTTGCATAGTAGTGCCAATGTGGATGGAAAGGAGTAAGGAAATATTAGTGTTAGGAGTGGAATTGGAGACCTATTATTAAGTTCTGTGTAAGTAGTCATTACACCACCTGCATCTTTATGTGGTGTGATGATGGGTATAGGGCCATGTGCCAGAATTTTAAATTTTGCAATAACAGGGGAAATGTATATTGAAGAAGTCACTAAGAATTTGTGCACAACAGTTTTGTAATGACATTGGCATTTATATTTTTGTAGCTGTTTGTGAATTAGTAAGGGAATGGAGATGGACGACGAACAAAGTCAGATAGCAGATTCAAAATATAGGCCTTTGAAAGGTATCCATGGCAAGGCCTGTTAAAGGGGTGGTCACACTAGTCCTGTCTATCTGAGGATTCCCATACAGACCAGGATACTTCCCCAGTCGTGAGGGTAACAGAGATGAAAATCCCCACATAGTGTAACACTGAGTGAAAATCACTATGTTGGTGTTTCTTCCTACTGGGGGGGAAGATGATGCCAAAACTAAAGCTGTAATATAATTACTGGGAAACTTATTACTTAATCACATAAACAGTAAATATTATATCATCCTAAGTATAATTCCTTTGTAGAAATAAGTAATTTTTATTATAACTAACAATGGTACCTCATGAAAATTTTAAAGATTATCCAGATGAACATCAATTTGATCAACAAAATAGGCAAACACACCCCCACTGTGGTACGCTGAAGATGCAGATCTCACTTCAGAAATTATTTACTCCCTGGTGGACAAAATGAAAGTTGAGAATAATAACAATGGATGAAATTAACAAGGAACTTTGCTTGGTACACAGTATAATAGTATGGCTGGCAAGGCTGGGTATGAATATGTTCCATACATCATTGAGTACGCAAATGCTTGCATAGTTTGTTGGGAAATTTATTGTCAGATTTTCTAGATTTTCTATGGTTATATCATAAAATAGATGGAATAGGGTTTCTGAGATTACTGTATTCTTTCTTGATAATTGGAGCTACCAAATGGAGGAGCTCTGTAAAATTTTCAATTAATTGGCAATGTGTTGTTGATTTTAACAAGGCCATAACAGCTTAAAAGTAACCTATTAGTACATTCTTGTTAAGGGCCATTTTTTGTATTTTATATATGTGTTTAGTGTGGTCCCCCCCCCCCTCACATACACACCTAATCATTTACTCAGCCTGCTTATTTGGGGATCCCTGGGCATACGTGACTAGTGTGCTTGTTGCTTGACCATTAGTTGCATATGGCATTGCATCATGATATAGTCTTTGTTATTGGCTTGTCAGAGGGACTTTTGTCTTTCTCTGACAGTCATGGTGTTATTTATCTGATGTTGTATTTAGATACAAGCACTCTAGGCAGGACTGGATTATCCAATGGCTAGTATAGGCTGCAGCCTAGGAACCCTCAAGCTTGGGGGCCCCAAGCTTGAGGGGCTTGGTTATATACAGTAAGTCCCCAACTTAAGAACATAATGGGGACCGAGAGGCTGTTTGTAAGTTGATTTGTTTGTATGTTGAAAGTCGGGTCTCCATTACCTTTTTTCCCATTGTTTTAAAGTTTTGTTTACATTAAGAATACCTGTAAATAAATCCCAATAAGTACGACATACCTTATACAGTACCAGACTCTTGAACTATATTCGTGCCCGGGAAATTTGAAGTTTGCTAGCATCTTTCAAACAATTTTTTTGGACTTTAGTACTTAAAAAAATTTGTTTGTATGTATGGAATGTTCATAAGTAGAATGTTCTTAAGTGGGGGACTAACTGTATATATATATATATTTTTTTTTTTTTTTTTTTTTTCATTTTTTTTTTTTTTTTTTTTTTTTTTTCTTCCTCTCACTACAGTTGTGTTGAAATATAGTAAAGTAGTGGTATTTAAAGAATATTTTTATTGACAAACAAAAGATAGCTATGCTAGTTTATTTAAAGAATTTGCAATAAGTTTACTTCAAGCTATGTAAATGTCGCTAAAATATATCACGAGTAAAAAATATTCAAGACGGGTGCAACTGAGTTAGAGGGTGGCTCCGTCTGAGGGGGCCCCAAAATGTCATAATCCGGCCCTGACTCTAGGCTTTAGACTTACTTGAGTAGTAGTGTGGTTTGTTGGCAAGGCGCACACAAATACTCATGTGCAGTGCCTATACAATGTTATTATTTCTTTTATTGCAAATATGTTTTTTGCTAGTAGGTCACTTTCCAATGTTTATATTTGTCACTTGATATGCTGTATCTTTTTTCTCCCTCCTTCTTCTTCTTCTTCTTCTTCTCCTCCTTTACACAAATTCCATAACATCTCTCTAGGTTGTCCAGAACTCACTGCAGTATTTGTCACAATAAGTAACTTTTTTCCAATTTTCTGTAATATAACCTGTGCTACCAATCATGCCAGATAGAAATAGGATCCTGAGGATTGAAGTAGTGTCGTCCCTGGAGCCAGCACACTTCCAGTCACTCTTTTACCTATAAGAATAGTGCTAGAGCCCCTTCCAAAATTTCCACTGAGTCAAATCACCCTCTAAGAGTTTTGTGTACTCATGGCGATTCATTCTGTCACCCCATGACATGATGGTCATGTTACTCTGAATTTAGGACTTAACCCTTTGCCGACGGGCATGGCATGTACGTACATGCCGTGCCCATTGTGAGTTTACTTGTTTAATTGTTTTTAGACTTAGATGGCTACACTTGTACTAAATCACCCATTCACCCTTCTCATCGATTTACGAAAATATTTAACGTTAACTTATTTTGCTGTAACAAATGTTTATAACATTATAGTAATTATAATATTTATAATATAAATAACACCATTTATATCTATAGCACTAGTAAAAATATGTTTTTTGTGCCAATTCAAGGAAAGGTGCACTAGCAGAGCCATCTAGTAACAGGGACATTTCACAAAAATATAAAAAATGAACACAAAATTTCCCCCATTTTTTATTCATTTTCCCCGACGGGAAAAGGTTAATAGCCCAGTTAAGGTTACCCCCCACCGTTACCTCCCCAGCTGTAATTGAATTAACAAGTTTAAGTAATAAAATGTATGCATGTACTATTGAAGAAAAAAAAGAAGAAAGGAATTTCCAAAATACATATTTTATGAAAGTGTAATAAAACCTTTCTTAAAACATTTAGTCACTTTGTATAAATTTTGACATGGATTTGTGTCACTGTCTGGAAGTCACTGGGGTATTTGCCCTTCTCACAGCATTAATTTTTTGTAGGGAAAATCTAAGATAAGATCTGGGGCAGCTACTTATTGCACCAACAGGGCTAACCCTTAACCCCTTGGTGCCGGGTGACGCCGATCGGCGTGTAAACAAAGAGCTCGAAAGCTGGCGTGCAGCCGAACGAGCCGGCGGCGAGCCAGTGATTCGGGCTGATGTCCCCTACTCACGCGCTCAAAGTTGGCGCTCCGCCTTTGTTTGTTTAAGCGTAGAGTTTTTTTTTTTTTTTTTTTTTTTTTTTTTTTTTTTTTTGTTGTTGTTGTTGTTGTTGTTGTTGTTGTTGTTGTTGTTGTACACCCGGCGCCATTGGGTTAACCTATTGCCAAAGGGCATGTCACGTACGTCCATGCCATGCCCACTGTGAGTTTACTTGTTTAACCCAATGGTGCCAAGGAAAATGAACAAAGAATGGAGAAAATGCTGTGCCCACTTTCTATGTTTTTCGTGAAATGTCTGCCGATAGATGGCTCTGCTAGCGCCTGATTTGAAATGGCGGAAAAACGTATTTTTCACTAGTGCTATGAAAATCGATGGTATTATTTTTATCATAAACATTATAATTTTTATAATGTTTTTTAACATTAGTAGCAGCAAAATAAGATAATGTAAAATATTTTGTAAATCAAAGAAACGGGTAAACGGGCGAGACGGGCGGTACTCGTAACTGGCTCATTGGCAATTTAGTACAAGTGTTGCCATCTATG